TCTTTTATATTTTTAATCTCTTGATTTCTAGCTATAGTGTTTTCTTTTATAATTTCTAAGTAACTATTTTGCTTTTCATATTCTATTTCTAAATTTCTTGATAAATTTATGATTAAATCTATTATACAGTTCTGACTTGGTTCTTCTGAAAATAAACTATGTAATTTATGTTTATATATATATATATATATATATATATATATAACCTCTTGTCCTCTCCCTTCTCACAATACATAATTTACCCAACCCTACTCCCTCTCACCTTCTTCCCCAACACTCTTAAGTTTTCCCATTTTCATCTCCTCCTCAACCTTCCCAAGGTACCCTCTTCCCTTCTCCTTCCTTATTTAGTTTTTTTTCTTTGTTGATTTTATTTTATTTTATTTTTTTCTTCCTCTTTTCACCTCAGCCACATCACAATTCTTTTGATTACACGTATTCTTGCCCTTCCCAATCTCCCTTATTGTTTTCAACATTTCATTGTTGCAAAGTGTGCATTCATCCATTCCTATTAGTTTTCACAGCACCATTCTAGGTCCAATGTCGCCTAAAAAGAGATCCAAAGCCGCAGCCTCCTCATCTAGCTCATTTGACAGGAGCAAATTCATTAGTGCCGAGGCCGCTGAACGATATAATAGCCTGGTGGTACACAAGACCTGTATCCCTGAACGTGGTTTTGACAATTATATGACAGAGCAGATAGATCGACGGAATTGGGAAGTTTTTGCTCGACAACCACGAGCGGCGCTAATTCCGGTTGTCAGGGAGTTCTACGCCAATGCGAAGGAACATCGAGATTTCCGAGTGTTTGTGTGAGGTAAATGGATACCGTTTGATAGAACCTCCATCAATAGGTTTTATAATTTGTAGGATATTGAAAATGACGAGTACTCTAGACTTTGTGATGAGGGTGTTGATCCTAATGAGGTCATTCGAATCTTGGCCACAACTGGTACTACATGGAAACGTTCAGAGACTGATGTACTTAACTTCCCTACTTCTGGTATGACTTCGGGTTGTAAGGCTTGGCATCACTTCATTTCTGGCAAACTTATTCCCGGTAGCAATTTAAGTGAAGTAACAAAAAATGGGCTACCCTCAATTATGCTATTCAATGTCGCCTATCAATTGATGTTGGTAAAGTTATTTACAACAACATCTTACACACTTTGAAAGGGTCGACGACGGGTGGTCTAGGGCACCCATCGTTGATTTATGAGCTTTGTTTAGTGGGTGGTGTTGTCACATACCCGACTGAGGAGGTTGTGTACCCTAAACTGCAAATCACACGAGCGCGTACTTGGAAGTTCTTAAGCCGCTCCGAATCCATCAGTGCTCCACACTCTCCTCAGAGCGAGCAGCAGCCCAGATCACGCCGATCGACCCCAGCTAGTGACCCCAATTCTGACATTTCCGCTCAGCTTTATGACATGTAATTGCAAATGAATTTGATTCAAAATACATTGTGCGAGCAGTTCCATTATCAACATGAGTTCAATGCGGTCCTGGCTTCGATTTACTCCGATCGAACATTTTCTCAGCCGCCTCTCCTACCTGATCACGCTGCAAATCCAATTTCGAATACCCAGGACAACGATGTCGAGGACGACAATTAACGCTGTCTGTCAAGTAAGTCCCCTCCCCATTTTGTTTATATTTCACATTGAGGACATTGTTTATGTGTTCATGTGTTTATTATATATATAAAATAATAATAATAATAACAACAACAACAACAACAACAACAACAACAATAATAATAATAATAATAATAATAATAATAATTATTATTATTATTATATATGCATTTTCATATTCAGCATGCTTGTGTGAGTTAGATAATCTTGTTAGCTATGATGAATATATTTGAGAGCATGTATTAGTTTACGGATTGTGGATGAATCATTTGTTTTAATTGGATTTTCTACTTATCCATATGAAGCGGTCTAACATTTATACACGAGTATTAAGTTGAGCGTCGTACAGGAACATGAGGGCTCATGCACATAGGCTAAAGAGATGACTTAGGTGTGTAATCCCGTAATCCATGAATGTCAATACCCCTTAACCATGTACATTATAATTTAGGGCATTCTAACTGGCGAAAGAAATGATTTACGATTGTGTTGATTCCGGGCATGTGAAAAAGATTGTGTGGAGTGTATTTAATTTTCTGGTATAAGCTTAGTGATGACCGAATGCTAGAAATCTAACCGCTATAAATTTTGCTTCTTTTTATAAGAGAAGAAGCATTGCACGTATTCAGCTGAGTCTCACACTTGTACCTTTTTTACTCGAGTTATTAAGTTCGTAGGGGTCTCTTGAAACCTGGTACCCTTTGGTATACAAAAAACTGGGGAGTTACCAACCTAACACTCGCTACAGGGGTCAAGAAGTGGAAAAAAGGGTGAGGTAAAAAAAAAAAAAACTGATCTTGGGGGCCCAGATAACTAGTGGGTTTGAATCACTAAGTATAAACTAGATTGTTGAAATACTCATAAATTGGGAGAATCACTACATGAATGAATTGTTGACGTTGCCGGTTGAACTAACCCAAATTAGAGTGGTGTAAGGAAATCTTAAGCAAAATTGAACTTTGAAATTACACCATGTTAAGAGAATAAAAGAACCAAGTTTGGGGGTATGTGAATCTTACGAGTGAAAAAAGGAAATAATTGACCATTGAGGGTTGGGAAGTGAACCAACTTTTGAATGTACGGCGCTACGCTTGACCCTCCACACACACACCCGTTTCATATTGTATGAGTGGAAGTTTGGTTCTTGCATTGTGATTTTGACGCCATTCATAAATATAATATAATGTTATCAATGCAGAGCCAAAAAGACAAACTGTCTAACTGACTAGTTGTGTGTGTATCATCCTTGGATGATTTTTTTGTTTGATGTGTTTGTTTGCTCGAGGACTAGCAAACGGTTAAGTTTTGGGCTATTTGATGAGTTTGTTTCACTCATGAATTTTGCACAAGTTAGCTTGATTAAATGCTAGATCTTGTGAGTATAGAACCTTTTTGATGTGTTTGTTAGTGTTGTTTTGAAGGTTAGGAGAGGCGATGCGAAAAGAGGTATTAAAGTGGACAAAAAGGCTCAAAACACAGAATTGGAGCAGAAGACAGCGCTTAGGCGCTACGAAACTGGAAAAAAATGAAATTTGAACTCGAGAGGCAGCGCCTAGGCGTTGCAATCATAGCACCCAGGCGCTATCATCAGCGCCTAGGCGCTGTGATTAAATTGACGCGGCGCCTAGGCGCTGTCTCGTATTGCTTAATCGCTGCAACTGAGTATCTAGGGTGCGTTTTTTGGGCCGTTTTAAAATCCATAAAAACCCTACTTCTACACAAAACGGAGGGCCACCTATAAATACATCTTTCTTATACTTTTGAGGGGTTTTGGACACATTGGAGACAAGACAAGAAAAAGGGAGATTCAAAAGAGAAATTCAAGAAGATTAACACCAAACAATTGAATATTAGAAGCATTCATTGGAAGGGGAAGAAGATCTTGGTGCAAGAATTCTACTTTTTTTTTTCACATCGTTATTATAAATTCGATGATGTATTTTAAGACGATTTCCTATTTTTCTTCTTGCATTATGAGTAGCTAAATTCATTGTTAGGGAGAATAATGTAACCAATTGGGATCCTTTACATTCTCTTATAAAGATTCTCAATTTTTAATTTTTTCATGTGTTCATTTTGCTATGAGTTGAATGCATTAAATTATCTGATCAATAATTTGATGATTTTTGTGAATTCTTTACAAATAGAGATATGAGTTTAGGATTTAGATCATGTAGTAAAATCCAGTACATTGGTATAAAGAGTAGAGATACTTATACCATTTATTGTGGTCACAATTGAATTCCTAGGGCATAGAACTCGTTTAACTAAGTTGAATTTGCATAGAGACATGAAATTTAATTAGTTGAATAGGCTCAATGTTAACTCGAGAGGGGTAAATTGAATACAATGGGAGAATTTGACCGAGCACTACGTTAGAATTGAGTTTTAATTTGAGGTGTAAAGGTGATTAATTGGTGAAGTTATTCTGCCCTAACATCCATTCATTATTTGATTCTCCAACCAATCGTGTGAACATCTGTTTATTTTCTAGAATTTAGATTAAAACTCAGATTTTACAACTTTTAATTTGTTTTAGTCAAATGGTAGTTAAAGAAAAATTGAATTAAGTGCTAGAAAATAGTCCTTGTGGGATCGACAATCCGGACTCTTAGGTCCACCATTACTTGTTACGGGTCGTACACTTCCGAAACTAAAATTTTAAAACAAATCACAACCCGATCCTATTCCTATTTCGAATTTGTATGACCAAAATGCATTCAATTATAGGTTACCTATGTGATTGCATTTGTGATAAAGATTATTCATAATCCTATCTACATATGTTAATTTTGCAGCGTTCTAAACTTTTTTTGATTCTCTCAACACTACAACAAGTAACTAATTATTCAATTGGTGGTCAATCAATTAAATAATGCAATGGGTATGCAAAATTAATCAAGAATTAAACTAAGTTACTTGTCTTGAACTAGAAATAAATAAGCAATAAGGATACAATACATGAAAGGAATCAAACAAATAAAGTTTAAACGACATCACCAAGTAATTGACGGAATGTAATTAATTCCAATTATATTCCAATAATCCGTGGCTTCTTCGTGGTTGCCGTCTTCGTGTTTGCCATAATGTTTGACTACAATTTCTCCTTCAAGCTGCTGCCCAATTGCCGTGTGTCGCGTATGTTGCCAATTTCTCCCCAATTTCCATCCCCCAACCTTCGTGCAATAGCGCTATAACGTTTCTAGTTTTTCATGTCTCAACCTCTCATATTTTGTTCTTTAAACTTGAATTTTGCTCATTATTTGGACCGTTTCTTCCCTGTATACTCTAAATTTCTGTCTAAATAAAATTGTCACAAGTTGTATTTTCTAATCATACCCTCTCGTATATTTCCAAAATATATGCATCATTATAACAAAATCTTATCATAAACCATTGTTATGGACAACACTTCCATAATGGAAAACATCAGCAAACAAGATCATAAGTTTCGTGCTCAGATCTTTCACAAGTCTACTGCTTATCTTGAGTAAACGTTCATACATTACTAATAAGCATCAAGTGTTTTACCCAAACAAAATAACAAATTAACACAAGCTAGAAAGCGTTTTATCCAACAACATAATATCTTGATGATATGGCTTATCTGCTGCTCCTCTGAGTGGGATGAGCAGACCTCTGAATCCTTACTAGTTCTTTTGCCACATCGATTATGTATGGCCTATCTGCTCCTCTGTCAAGAATACATCTCAAAGCAAGTCTCGAGAAAGCCTGCAATTGATGCTCTATTTCGCCTATCTCCTCTAAAATAATTGGGTCCAAAATTTTACTCAACTCATTCTTCTCAACGTGGTGTTCTGCAAAATTCCATAAAGAAGGATATTCATCATCTACATTGAAGAAAGAGTAACGACCAGTTAAGAGTTCAAGGAGAATAATTCCAAACATGTAGACATCACCCTTCTCTGTGATAATGCCTGTTGTCATGTAGTCAGGATCAAGATGTCCTTTAGTCCCAACAACAATATCTACTTCCACCTGTGATTCTCCTGGAGGCAATGCTACGCAGAGTGAGAAATCGACAAGCTTAGCAACACCATTATTGTCTATGACAATGTTTTTTGTGCCTAGATCTCTATGGATGATAGGTGTGGGAAATGCTGTATGAAGATAAGCAACAGCATTTGCAACGTCTGTTGCAATTTTTAGTCGATTACTCCAAGAGAGTGATCTACCAATATTATTCCCGAAGTTTCTTCCACAAAGAAGGTCATACAGAAGTCCATAATTGATCCCGATTTCATAGATAATAGCAGGTATTTCCAAATCTAAGCAGCAACCCAATATCTTCAAAACATTTTTGTGGCGGTTCATCTGCACCGTGTATACAATGTCGTTGACAGCATAGGACGCAGCTCCGTCTCCTTTAGCATATGCGTGGAACTTCTTCACCAGAATGGACCGTTGCTGAAAAATGCCGCTGATGTAATAGCCCGTTCCATCCCACATAGCAGATCTGGAAATATAATTTATTGACTTAGTGAAATCGAAGTCTGTTGCTTTATTAAGTTCTTCAACGGTAAAGACGCGATAAGGAATGTTATACTTGCCATTAGAGGAAGCAATAAGACCTTCTAACAGCTTGCCTCCATTTTCCATATACCAAGGCGATAATTTCAATTTCTCATTCCTCCTTTTCAAGAACCTTATCTTTCTTTTCACCCACTCCATGAATAACTGCAAATGAGGAAACAAGCCGAGTCTTCAAAACTCCTCAGAATGTAAAAATAATAATTAGATGCTGCTAGAACTTGAACGGTGTAGCAATTTTGAGGGTCCGAACAGAGACTTTAATCCAAGCATACAGACAAAATGGCAATAATTCAATCTTTGGTTTCAGACTTCTCTTACCTGGGTCTTGCACGCAGACTAAAGTCTTTGTTTGAAGTTTCAACGGAATTTGGTAAAAATTAATGTGTACTAAAAAATGTATGATTTCATTAATTTAAGAGACTATGTTCTATCATTTATGTAGTTCAAAGTGCTCCTATCATGAGATGCGATTGTTATCACTTGAAAGAAGAGTGTCACAAGATTTTTTGTACCTGTGCAAAACATATTCGTTTTAAGAATAAATACTCAAACTCTTGCCTAGATCAAAATTGAATCTTTTGCATTTCTTCTTTCAAATACATATTTTTTTGTAAGAATAATGCTATTTTAATCAAATAAATCCTAAACGAGTAATTCTGACCTTAACGAAAAAATGCCCTTTTTCAAAAAGTTCTCTTTCCCTTTTCACAATCTCTCATAGGAATTCAAGTCCAGAAAAGCATACTCTCTCACAAGACAAATCCGAATAATTTTTTAACATTCCAAAAGTTTCTCATAAGATGCCGAAAATCCCGGAAAAAAATAAAAATAAAAAAGATTAGTTTCATTTTCATGAATGGTTTTTCAATTGGTCCATATCCATGAATTTCTTGCAAAGAAAAAGGCTTTCAATGGGTCCAAAAGCAACCACTCGACTCAATCGATAGCGTGTAGTTTTATTCCCTCTTAAGTAGTCTATACGTTCTTATGAAGGAATTGTCACTTTCCATTGGCAGATAGAAAAATTATGAGAAATAAATGTTGTTAGGTTTGGTTGGTTAAGAAAAACCAAGTTATTTTCTTCTCCATCCACTTGATATCTTATCTTCTAAAATTTTTTAATGTCGTTGGATATGGCGTAAACCCTATAATAAACTTTGTAGATAGTCTACCAATGACACTTGAAAATGGAAAATTTGTGATGACAAAATGTGTGGCAAGTATGCCAAGGTGTATGGCGTACACCTCAGCATCGAGGGCCCAGGCTGGACACAGCTCTCTTTTACGTTTAGTGGAGATCAAAATTAAAATTTTAATAGATTTTGATAAAAATTGATGAAACGTGTGATTGAAAAGTTATGAATCCATAAAATATATGGTTAAAATTGATTGTTAACTTTGACTTAAATAAAAATCAAAATTTTAATCACAACCAAAGAAGAGCTAATATAATGAGATATCATCATCCATAAATAATTACGTACCTGTATAATCCGTGTAAAAGAAGTAGGTGGATGGAAAATTGGTCGAGTTTTATGTGAAAAATTTTAGTGGCAGCCAAATGTAAATGACGGGGTGGGTTCACTGACATAGACACTTTTTATTTAGTGTGTTATATTAATATCATTCTCCATCCTTTTTCAAAAAAAATGTTTGGAAATAAATATATTGTTAAAAAATTTCAAGTTCAGCCAGAGGTTAAATTGTTTATTTACAAGTAAGTTTGAAAATATAAACTCTTTTAACGGCAGAAGTTGAAAATAAGTAATTTTTTTTCTATTTTAAAAGTAAAAGGAAATTACATATAGACCTTAAATGGATAGATAAGTCAATCATAGGATGAAAATAATGATCCACTACACGTTTTACTTATGAAAAAGGAAAGTTTTCTGAAATGTGAATATGTTGTTTTTATATCATTACGAACTTTTAAGATATTCAAGTGTTCATAGTCGCTTGTCACTTTAAGGATATTCAATATGGCATCAATACGGAGAAGATAACACGAGTTCTAAAGAAAGTGTTATCGGTTACTTCAATATTGCATTGACAACGTAATATGGTAAAAGAATGACACATCTTTGAAGTCATTTTTTCACTTGTTGAAGGGTTCATACTATGTAACCGTCCCATCTATTGCGCTGAGAAAATATGTAGCCAATAGAAGGTACAACTCCACTAAAATTGCAATTTTGTCCATAAAATGGTACGCAGAAAAATTAAGACAATTTATGCACAATTTAAGAATCGATTTAATTTATGTCGAGAGATAAAACTAACACATAAGGAATATCGATTGGTAACATAAGAACGGGCTATAAACAAGTAGTTGAAGATTAAAGTATGTTAGCAATAATAAATTAATTCGAGGAAGTTGTTTGTTTTGTTTGCGTTAGAAGATAATTATAATTAGTTAAAATCTACTTTAAAAACTATTAATTTATTTTTCTTGAATTAGAGCTAAGTTTAATTAAAGTATAAATAAGTATATAATTAGTCCTCGTTGAAACCATATTGTATTAATCACTTTGTTATTTGTCCCTATGCATCCACTTACAGATGAAAATCGACAACAGAACTACTTTTATATTTGATTGTGAACTAGAATGTACTTATACCCTAAAAGTAAACATAAATTTTATATAAATAAAATAAATTACTTAAATAATCAAATAAGAGTCATTTTTAATTAAGTACTTTCATTAAAACTAAAACGAACTTATAGTAATCATTTTTACTCCATACTTTTTATAAATTCGATTGTGGCTATTTATCATCAATAAAATGTCAACATTAATTTATGTCAACAGTCTTGAATAATGATCCTCTACTTCTTGAATTAGATAACAATATGAAGTTTGTAGACATAATTGAATTAGAAAAACTTTTTTCTGAAGTGTTCTAATTAGGGACTTGAAATCTTTGTAGGGAATTTTAATTGCAGTTACTTGAATTTATAGGTGATGAAGTTGTTAGTTGCATTTGATTGACCTGAACTTGACATTCGACAACGATTAGTATAAATTTTACACCATTCTTTTCATAGACAAATAAAATTTGACTTATATTTTCCAATCATAAACTTTCGTATCCTACATGTATAATTTCAAAATATGTAACATCAGAACCCAAATCATATCCTAAACTATATATTATTACAGTCAAAACTTTATATATATGAAGAACATCATGAAAATAAGTTCATAAGTTTACTTGCATTTAAGTAGATCTATTTGCACAAAAAACCGTAATCTCCGAAGTGTTTTCCTGATATGGTTTGAAATCTCATATTTAGCCAACACTACCTTGCATGATTTAGGAAAAACATTTCAAATTTCAGAAAGCCACATTGCAAAATTGAAAGTAAAGTACTCCTGATCTCTTTGAGCTAGATTCATCCAACTATCAAAGTTTATATTCATCTTAATTTTCATAAATGACCATTGCATTTGGCGATGCACGCCAAACTTTGTTTACCTCTTTGAAAATCACATAAACTTTCTCAGTGCTAGGCCGGAATAAATCACTCCTGTACTGGATCGATCACCATTCTCTTTAGCTTCGGTGATTTCTCCAATAAAAGCATAATGAGTGTCATCTCAGAAACGGTGCCAGAAATGGATTCGAGCCTCACTTCTTGAAGTTGATTTAAAAGTACATCTGAGTAGTATTGCACGTTTAGAAAGTCTGAAACATGGCTTGCATCAGAACCTTCCCAATCCATAATCTATGAAATGTGTCAAAAAAATTAGTTAGCTTAAATTTTTAGTTCAAATCAGAATATAGAAGAAGGCAATTTGAAATAACTACGTCCATTACTTACAACGGAAATCTTCATTTTTTCAAGGTTGGGGGACCTTCTGATCAAGCGAAGAACACATGAGAATTCCTCCTCTGAATCTAGATATATATGGAGTAACTTCAGAATTTTAAGGTGGATTAAAAGCAGTTGGAAGCACCGTTTGGACTTGACCTGCAAAGTCCAGAAAGAAGATGGAAAAATTATGATCGAACATAATTAACTTGAATTCACATGATTATATTTATAATTAACCATACCAGCATAAAATGGCAGTCCATGCACAGTTTATGAAGGGCAGGAAGAGAATCAAAGAACCCAACAAAGGTACAGTTTCGATAATTGAATTCATCATCCTCATAATGCTCATAAGCAGTAACTCTTAACTGTTGCAAGATGTTGGGATCTCTTTATACAAATAGACGAACAACAGAAACATCGAAGATGAAAAAGTCTTAGCATAGGAGCATCAATTTCCAAGTTATCAAGCTCAATTGGGATATTCAGCAACAGTTGCTCCAGAAACAGGCAGCTAGATACCAAACTTTGAAGTACTTCAGCATGAATGATGACGTAACACAATTCCACCCTAACTAGTCCATTAAATCCTTTAAAGGTTGGAGGAGGATTGATCAAACCAGCAGAAAGTGTCAAATGTTTCAGCAGTAAATACATAAATAGTGAAGACGGAATTCTGTATCCATGTTCAGTTTCAAAGATGAATTCTTCAACACCAGAATTTGATAAGAGATTGATCATGTGGTCAATATGTGAACAGCTTTCAAGCTTTGGAATAATGAGACTAAACTTAGTTATGGGTCCTCGGTGATGTAAAAGAACCTGGTTAAGTTACAGCAAGAACTTCATAGTTCTCTCATTTGCCTCGAATTCTTGCCACACCGTAACATCAAATATGAGATGAGGTAGTTTAACCCAATTATACCTCAGCAGCATCATGTGTTGGCACACACATTAGAATGTCATCTATTATATTTTCAGGAAGGTTGCTTATCCTATCAACAGGTTGAAGCTGTGCAAAATCCATTCTGCAGTGTTATTGGAAAAGACAATTCTGTAATGACCAAAAAATCACACAAGTAATAAAAACATCAAAACTACAATCAAGAAAATTGCATGCATATATTAGACAGAAACAAATTCAACATGAAGTTCTCACAATTTTTCTCGCATTGCTTTAATTTGTTACGAATAATTTAGAAGATAAAATTTTCCTTTATTTATATCTCAAAATTTACAAAATGAGGCTTATTGTCACAGATGTGTGCAGACAGCGTTCCTAGTGTTTTAGAAATTGGAAAGTACAATAGTATTGGTCACACCACATTGCATGTCTAACACATCTCCCTCAACTGTTAGATACTTGAAAACAGCATAAATAAAACATGATATGCGTATATATTGGACAATAGCAATCCATCTAGGATGAGTGTTTGTACACATCACAGTTACATTGTTCAATCAGTCGTGCTACCAGAAGGAAAGTAAAGAGAGGATACACATTAGAAATTTACGTCAGCAGATGCTCGAAATATACTCAAACAGAGTTGCAAAAACATATACATATTCGATCTCTAATTTATAGGGACTAAGGTTTAGTTAATAATTGTTTTAGATACTTGAAATCTACCAAAAGACTTGTTGTCTACTTGTAGTCTCTACTTATTACAACATGGAAACTGCACGCTAACAGTGTAGTTTGTAGTGTGTTCTGACTTATAAAAACTCTGTTGTATACGAGTTTGGCACCATAATTTATATATACTTGTGTGGATGGGGTGTTTCTCCTTTGTGGTAACCCATTTCTTGTGTTTTTCTGATATTCACTCTCCATAAACCGAGGGTTTGAATGAATTTACTTGGTCAGAGAATTGTCTCAAGGACTAGAGGAAAGTATCTGGTCGAACGTCTATGTCCAGGCTAAGCCTCAGGTAGGGATTTATGTGATCATGCTTAAGAATCCTGTGGTTGGTACTTGGCAAGTTCATCCAGTTTGAGTTGGTCATTTGTGTTATCCCAATCGTTATCGATGAGGTCGTTAGGAAATAGAGTTGTGTGCCCTTGCAATAAGCTATTCGAACAACTATCACTTTGGTTAACTTGCCTACGATGTGTCCTACAGGTCGGTTTCTTGTACACATAATCAATGCATTCATGAAAGATTAAGAAATGGAAAGAAAAGCAAAATACCATCTATTTAATTGTATTGTCCAATTTTTGTCTCATTTTGGTAAGAGGCTTAAATATTTGATGGCTTGTTTTGCACTTCTCATGATCAAGAGTAAGGAGCAAAGACATTTTTTGTCCAGTCCAACTTACCAAATCCAAATATGTCATAAATATATGTACTCTAGGTTATGCTGGAATGACATTCCACATCATGACATAGATATTAGACCAGACACTTGTTTATTACTTGAAAATAGGATTAATAATACCTAGAGATAAATCTTCCAAATAAAACACACTTTTTGTTAGTTCTAAAAAAAATTCACTAATTAGAAAAATTTACATTATCAATTGCCAACATTTATAAATTCTGGTTTATTTGGCTCACTCACTCAATTAGCAAAGACATTTATGATAATAATATCTGTGAAAAGGGAGAGAGGAAGGCATTTCGCAATTCGGACTAGCCCTAGAGATATGATTGATCGTGGTGCAAAAACGCATGTTCTCGGTCGATTACCATCAAACTAAATCACAACCTGCTGACAATATACCAACCATATTCAAATGGTTGATGATTAAGGATGGTATTGGACGATATCATATCAATATGGAATAAAATTCTCAACAATATTTTTTCATATCTATTTTTGGTAACACGATCACTTTGTATCTTGAATTCTAGGGCTCTTTGTTGTGTATAAATTACAGCAATCTATCCATAATAAAACTGAGAATCTGCAGTCTCCCTTTTCTTCTTTTATCATGGTATCAGAGCGGGAACCCTAGGACCTTCATCTATGGCGAAAGAGAGCCCTTTTCCCATGGCTTCCAATGCCTTAAGCAACAACTCAAACACCATCCAATCAAACAATAGCCAATCTAACTATGATACTTCATCACCCTACGTTCTTCATGCATCTGATAACCCGGGGATAGCTTTAGCAACCTGCCTGCTCAAGGAAGAAAACTACCCCACATGGCCTCAGGCAATGACGAATGCACTTCAAGCCAAGAGCAAATTTGGCTTTGTGGACGGATCTGTCAAGCGTCCGGCACCTGGTTCATTGGATGAACCTGCATGGATTAAATGCAATTCCATGGCAATTTCATGGATTTTTAATTCTGTTCACCCCACCCTCCATGATAGTGTAGCTTATTTCGTGTTGGCACAAGAGATGTGGAGTGATCTTGGATAGCCTTTTTTCCCAAGGGAATGCTCCTCGTATTCATCAGTTAAAAACTGAACTAACAAACACTTTGCAACAAGGAATGACAGTCTCTGTTTATTACACAAAACTGAAAGGAATTTGGGATGAACTCAGTACATATTCTCAAGTTCAATCGTGTACATGTGGCTCGGCAAAGGCGTTCGCTGTAGAAAGGAAAAGGGAGAAGGTGCATCAGTTCTTAATGGGTCTGAATGATAAATATAGTACCGTGCGATCTCAGATTCTGAACACGGACCCATTACCCTCATTATCTCGTACCTATGGACTTGTTGCACAAGAGGAACGCCAGCAGTTGGTGATAGCATCTAGATTGCCTCCTGTCGAGACAGCCGCATTCGCCACCAACAGACACCTTAATAGCCAAAAGCCTACAGGAAGTCGTGACCCAGCGAAGCAATTCTGGGAATATTGCAAGAAAACTAGACACACTCAAGACACTTGCTTTGAGTTACATGGCTATCCAGAATGGTGGGACAAAGGGAAAAAACCATCCAAAGTAAAAACGGCAAATAGTTCACAATGCGTGGAAGTTGATAAGGGTAACGATGCTATACCAATTAATGGACTCACAAATGAGAAGTATGTGCAACTTATTTCCATGCTTAATCTTGATAAGAAATTTGATTGCATGGCCAATTTTGCGGATAAGGCAACTTCTCTGTCCAATAGTTCAATTGAATGGGTTTTGGATTCGGGTGCTTCCGATCACATGACGTGTGTTGAAAGAGTTCTTATTTCTCCTAAACCTGTATCTCATCTTTCACCAATTAAAATTCCAGATGGTTCATGTTTACCAGCAAAATCTTATGGAGATGTTTCTCTTAATTCTCTTGTTAATTTAAATAGTGTGCTTTACATACCTAACTTTACATGCAATCTTATATCTATCAGTAAGCTCACCAAAACCTTGAACTGTGTTGCTCATTTTTTTCCTTCCTTCTGTGCCTTACAGTACCTAGCCACGAGGAAGCTGATTGGAATGGGTGAACTGCAAGATGGGCTCTATTATTTTCAAGCAATCAAAGTTCCTACAGCTGCAACCAGCACCACTAGTGACTCTCGCCTTCTCGCCTTCTTCTCTGGCATCAACGCCTTGGACATCTATCTTATGATAAGCTATCCCTCCTTGGTGATTTAGGTCTACCTACTATTAAGCCATTCAATAGATCTTGTGACACTTGTCATAGAGCGAAACAAGCTCGAAAACCCTTTTCTACTAGTTTTATTAAAACGCTTGCATCTTTTGAATTAATTCACTGTGATGTTTGGGGACCGTATCATACCACATCTTTATCTGGTGCAAATTATTTTTTGAGCATTGTAGATGACTATGCTAGATCTACTTGGGTTTATTTGATAAAAGCCATGACCGAAGTCTATGTTCGGTTGACTTCCTTCATAACTATGATAAATAGACAATTCGAAAAGGCTGTTAAACAAATCTGTAGTGACAATGGCACTGAATTTATTAATCATAACTTCCAACTTTTTTGTCAACAAAATGGGATTTTTAACTCAATTTTCTTGCGTCGCAATGCCTCAACAAAATGGAGTGGTCGAACGCAAACATAGACACATACTTGAAGTAGCTAGAGCTTTAAGGTTTCAAGCTAACTTACCCATTAAGTTTTGGGGTGAATGTAACTTAACGACAACATATTTGATAAACTATTCTCCCACACCACTACTATCTCGGGAAAGTCCCTATGAACTTCTGTTTTCTTGAAAACCTAATTATTCCCATTTTCGTGTTTTTGGGTGTCTCTGCTATGCTTCCGTCATTCCTAGGTCAAGAGACAAGTTTCAAGAACGTGCATCAGCCTGCATTTTTGTTGGTTACCCACATGGTCAAAAGGGGTATAAGGTGTATGATTTAACTACACACAAAATTTTCACTTCTAGGGATTTAACATTTTATGAACACATTTTCCATTTTCGAAATAAAGCGTCGTCTTCACCTCCGACGTCCACACCTATACCTTTCCCTATTCTTGGCCTTGAACTCGTGCCATCACCTATACACACCTCCCCAACCACCACACAACACTCCCCAGATTCCACTATTTCTAAGCACTCCCTAGATACGGCCACACCTCCTTCGACCACTACCCTACCTGACATTTCCATTCCTGATCAACCTTCAACATCTCCAGCCCAATGCTCCGCCCAAGAGAGGAGGTTGCCATCTCGCTTTCGTGACTTCCATGTTGAGTTGCCACAAAATAATAGGTCCTCTCCAGCCTCTTCCAACAATGCTTCCTCAAGTACGTCCTATCCTTTACAAAGTTTTCTCTCATATTCAAAATTTACCTCACCATATACTAGTTTCCTTGTGGCCATCACTCGCGATGATGAACCGAAGTCCTATAAACAGGCTATTCAAGATGTTCATTGGCAGAATGCAATGAACAATGAATTGGAAGCACTTAAACAAAACCATTTGGCACAGTTACCCCTAGGAAAAAGGCCATTGGATCACGATGGGTCTACAAAATAAAATACCATTCTGATGGGTCAGTTGAGCGGTATAAGCCTCGCTTGGTAGCCAAAGGTTATACACAAGTTGAAGGGCTTGATTACAATGAGACTTTTGCACCGATTGCTAAACTTACCACAGTTAGGACCTTATTAACTATTGCGGCCGCCAAGTCATGGGCATTGCACCAACTCGACGTCCATAATGCATTTTTACATGGTGACCTTGATGAGGAGGTCTACATGACACCCCCTCCTGGGTACTTACTCTCCAGTGGCAGTCGGGTGTGTCGACTCCGTAAATCCATTTATGGTTTGAAACAAGCACCCCGACAATGGTTTGCCAAATTTTCCAATGCTATCCGTCGCTTTGGCTTTACCCAGTCTAGGGCTGATGCTTCCCTCTTTTTACATCGCAAGGGCAACTCTTTCACGGCCTTGCTTGTGTATGTCGATGATGTTATTATTGCTAGCAACAACAGTGCCCACACTGCCGCTCTTAAGGATTATTTGAACACCTGGTTTCACATTAAAGATCTTGGTACACTCAAATACTTCCTTAGATTGGACACTGCCGCTCTTAAGGATTATTTGAACACCTGGTTTCACATTAAAGATCTTGGTACACTCAAATACTTCCTTGGATTGGAGATAGCTCGTTCTCCTGAAGGAATTGTCCTATCACAATGCAAATACACGCTGGACATACTACAGGAGGCCGGTTTACTTGGTGCTAAACCTGTGACCTTCCCTATCGAGCAGAATCACATATTGGCCTTGGACAATAGTGACTTTCTTGTTAATCCATCTCCTTATCATCGTCTTATTGGGAGGCTCATTTACTTGACCATCACTAGGCCAGAGATTTGCTATTCAGTCCACATTCTTTCTCAATTCATGAATCAGCCCCGGCATGGTCATTGGGTGGCAGCCCTTCGGATCTTGTGCTATCTTAAATCCGCTCCTGAACAAGGCATTTTTCTTCCTTCAGACTCTGATTTTCAACTCCATGCATATTGTGATTCAAACTGGGCAGGTTACCCCCTAACGCGCCGCTCAGTTACTGGTTACATTGTTTCTCTTAGTCGTTCTCCCATCTCTTGGAAAACTAAGAAGTAGACTACTGTCTTTCGTTCTTCGACTGAAGCTGAATATCGCTCCATGGCCACCACTGCTTGTGAGCTTATTTGGCTCCGTACTCTACTTCAAGACTTAAGCATTCACTCTTCGTTGCCTGCCCAACTTTATTGTGACAATCGGGCCACCATGCACATTGTTGCTAACCCCGTTCATCATGAATGCATCAAACATATCGAGATTGACTGCCACTTCATTCGCGATTGCATTAAAGCTGGCTCCATCTACACTTCACATGTCTCCTCCGATTGCCAGCTAGCTAATCATTTCACTAAAGCTCTTGGTAATGCTCAGTTCCATTTCCTTGTTGGCAAGTTGGACATTCGTGATCTCCATGCACCAACTTGAAGGGGCGTACTGGACGATGTCATATCATTATGGAATAAAATTCTTAGCAATATTTTTTCATATCTATTTTTGGTAACACGATCACTTTGTTTCTTGAATTTTAGGGCTCTTTGCTGTGTATAAATTACTGCAATCTGTCCATAATAAAATCGAGAATTTGCAGTCTCCCTTTTCTTCTTTTATCAGATGGGTCACCGGTTGGTCGGTAAAGGGTTGCGTCTAATATCATTGGGCCTACAAAAGAAGAATGTTGGTGAGAGCGGAGTAGCTAGATTGACCAAGTCATCTTAGTCAACATGACTTCAATAAATGAAGTCATCCTCCTGCGTATTTTCATTCTTTCAACACTCAAACGACTCCTCACTCATCTTCTTTCTAGCCACAAATTTTTCTCTCTAATATATCCCCCCTTGTAGAGAAGATCGACAGAACCTCACTGGAAAATGCACCGAGCCTGTACAATCAAACCTTCATCTCTCCCAGACTACCTAGGCTAAGAAATTCGGGTGCTTGACATGCAGAAAGAAAACTAAGAAAAAAATGCATGAGGTTTGGAAAATAGAAATACTTCTTCAGAGAGCTAACAAAAAATTTACTACCTTCCCCATCACTCTAAAGTATCAACCTCCACCTACCCCATTATCACTTCAAATTTTTCAATGTGCCTTCAACTATGCCCTCTTTTTGTTAAAATTTCTATTTACCCTTCAAATTTTCTTAAATATCTAAGCACGTATAAATGTATAAGCGCGTGTATGTAAAGAAGGAGGGGATATGAATTGTACTGTGAAAGAATTGGGTGATGCCACCACTGGTGGAGTGATCATAGCGGAGTTGGAGGATCTATGAGTAAAACCCTTAAGCCAATGTTACAGTATAAATGAATACACTTGGATACATTTTTAGTTCAAGAAAATTTACCTCTGGGCAGTTAAAGTTTAAGTTATAATTGAATGAATAGACTTGGACACCTCCTCACATGAGGAAAATTTAAATTTTGTCACTTGAAAGTTTAAATTTGGAGTTGGTCCTTAATTTTAGGTCTATGTTTGTCAAATATTATAATTGCTTATAATCTAGTCAAGTTCTATTTTTATCCACACATTTTGTAGAAATCACAACTTTTTTACATATTTTTTTAACCAAACATTCCTTGGTACGGTCCAAAGCAATTAAAGATTAATCGGATTGTACGGAGTGATTAGAAGTAAGAAGAAAGCTATTGGAAGATCGCAAGTTTTATTGGCAAAGTTCAAGTTTTGAAAATTTCGAATTTCACACTTCTGAAATTTGAGACAAACCAATTTTGAATGATTATAAAGTTTCGAGATCTAACTTGAGACTTCTATCTATTTTTCTCATATATTGCCTTCTCCCTTTCATATTCCAACTATTTGATCTTCCCACATCCTCTGCAAAAACCTAAAAAAAGTGATGGATACCTTTCTTGAAATTTGGTTAAACTAGATCGAGAGTTTAGACTCAAGAGGTAATGTTTCGATTGGACTTGATCATTGACAAAGATGAGTATAAATTTATGACCCCCCTCACTATAGAATGTGTACGTAATTTTTATGTCTAGACATTAGACACCTTCATATATAATCCATGTCTGGTGGACTAAAATCTAAAACAAAATCAACAATTGATTTTAATGACATATTTTAAGGAACCCACAATTTTTCAACCACATGTTCCATCAACTTTTATTAAAATATACTAAAATTTGATTTAAATCCACAACAAACAACATATACATTAATTCTAATATAGTAACATGCAATCCAACACGAACGCTAGACGTTAATAAATGAAATTTCAGTGTATAGTGAAGTTGAAAATGAACAGACCCTACGCAGAGAATTGGACCTAATTGAAGAGAGGAGAAGTGAAGCAAAACTTAGGAATACCATGTACAAGCAACATAATGCCAAGTATTACAACTACAAGTGCAAAAACGAGAATTCGGAGTCGATTCTCTACTCCTGAGGAAAATATTCACGAGAGAAGTCGGTTCCAGATCCTTAGGTCCTAACTGGGGGAGACCTTATAGAGTGATCAAGATCTTGGCTAGAAGAGCCTACGAGTTGAAAGACATGTGAGAAAGGCCTCTACTGCACCCTTGGAATGCTGAGCACCGTAAGAAGTATTATCGGCAAAAGAAAATAAAATATACTATGTAAAATCCTCCGTAATGGTGATGTATTCTTATTATATAAACCCATTCATAATAAAGAGTGTGTTTAAAGACCCCACTCATGACCTTTCCTTGAGCTATCTGATCTAAGGTTACATGTGCTGCAGCACTTAGACAAAATACTCCTTTATGAAGGAAACTTAGGGCCTGCTCTCAAGCGGTTCAATCTAAGGTTGTATGTGCTGCAACACTTAGACAAAATACTCCTCCATGAAGGAATTCGAAAAGGACCTGCTCTCAAACAATTCGATCTAAGGTTGCATGTGCTACGAACTTAGAAGGACCAGCTCTCAAGAGGACCAATCTAAGGTTGCATGTGCTGCAACACTTAGAAAAATAGTCCTCCATAAAGGAAACTTAGAAGGACCTGCTCTCAAGCGATTTGCTCTTGCTGTATATTGATTAAGAAGAATGTATGCAATTGGGACTATTGACTTTCATGGACTTTTTTTAAGTGATGAATTCTATGAATTTCATGGGTTTTTTATGGATTTATTTGGAATTAGTGAAAGTTTATCAAAGACTTGTATAGACTTTCATTATAAAACTTTAATACACTTTTGTAGAATTCAAAAGACTTTTGAAAACTTTCATTTAAAATAGAATTCACGTAAATCTAGTATAATAGTGTGAAATTCTCACATACGAGGTGGTAGTTCCCACAATTCTCCTTTTCCTCCCCATATAATAAAAATATTTTAAAAAGAACAAAAATGTACGACGTTAATTAAATAAATAATACTATATATATAAGAATCCAATATAATTTTTCATAGAAAATAGAGATGAACAATAACAGAGAGAGGAAATAGAAACAAATATAATTAGTAGAAAAAATAATTTTTAATTGTAACTCTAATATTCGTAGAAGGGAAAAGGAAATAAAAATATTGAAAGAAAAAAAATACATATTATTATTATTATTATTATTATTATTATTATTATTATACGAAAGTCTCCCAAAATCTAGACATCAATGAGAGACAAATTTGAAATTCTATTTTAATATTTTTTACTTAAAAGTTTCTAGATACTTTTCTAAAAGTCATTAAAATTTGAATATATCAAGACTTTACAGATTTCCAAAAAGTTTGAATTGAATACACCTGACTTTTAGATACTTTTTAAAAGTCTACAAAAGTCTCTATTGAATACACCAATACTTTTAGAGAGTCTTAAAAAGCTTACATTGAATATACCTTAACTTTTAAAATTTCAAAAAGTCATTGAAAATCTCAATTAAATACACCTTCCTAAAGCATATTGCGAGATGGGGTCACCTGAAATGGCGATATAGAAGTTGAGTGAGATGGAGGAGAAGGGGATTGAGGTTACTCCGGTTACTTTTACCACAATTTTACATGGGTTGTACAAGAAGGGAAGGAGTGAGGAGGCCGAGAGTTTTTGGGATGAGAAAGTAACGAAAAAGGGTTGTGTTCCTAATGTTGGGGTGTATAATGTGCTGCTTATGCATATTCATGGCGGGGAGATAAAGGGGATTAAGAGCTTAATTGACAAAATGAGTAATGCTGGGATAAAACCTGATGTTGTTAGTTATTACTACTTGATGACGAGCTATTGTAAAAATGGTATGATGGATGAAGTAAAGAAGGTATATGATGAGTTGGGGTCCAAATGCTGCAATGCAAATACGACAACTTTCAGGACATTTCTGTTTTATTTGTGCAAGCAAGGACGATATGCGACAGGGTATAAGGTGTTTAAAGAGAGTATGAAGTTGCACAAGATTTTGGATTTTAATACTTTCCAGTACTTAGCTGAAGGGCTGGCCAAAAACGGACATAAGAATGGGGTGAGAGCAATGATTTGAACTATGAATAAGAAGTTCTCTCCTAATTTGTTGAAGGCTTGGGGGAAGCTTGTGGAGGATCTGGGCTTGGCTCCTACTGACACTAACGAGGTCGATTCTAGTGAGTTAGAAATGGCCAGTACTTGAGTTTTTGTGTCTTGAATTTGTAGAGTATTGTACACTTTTGACCAAGTTAGATTGAATTTTGGATAGTCATAAAACTTCAAGATAATGTTTTCTTAGTGCTGTTGCATATAGCTTGACGCGGAGAGCTATTATGTGGAGCTCATCAAGATTTATAATGCATCCCATGATATTTAGTACATCAAAAGCATATGTACTATCATTTTTATGTTAAGATTGATCTCATCTTTCAATTTAAGCATATATACTTTCATCTTTTTCTTCTTCTCTTGATTATTTTTATTCTCTGAGTTGTTTAGATCCCATTCAAGGAAAAACATAAGTGCACAGAAGTTCTATTTTCCCATATGGTTTAACCAGACTATTCCTTGTTGCCTGTCTCAGCCCCACTTGATTTAGCAGTATCCATCAATTTGAAACTAAAAGCGAAAGCCATATTTCTTTTTTTTTTTTTCCCCAAAACCCCCTTTCCCCCCCCCCCCCCCCCATATGTAACTAGTGCTTTGGATTGCTATTGTTTTAGTCTGTTTCCTTATTGAGTTAGTGCCAACCTGGTCTTATGGACATAAATTTATGCCAGCAATCTTGAACAATGATTCTAGGAAAGCCATGAAGTGGCTGCCGAAGGGGATTTCAGAATTCTTTAATTTCATAACGATATTAATTGTCTAGACAGATTTTTGGAAGTGTTTTAATTGAGCGAATTCTTAGTTTTTTTTTTAAGCAACAAAAGAATTGACACATTTGTTTCACATAAACAACACAGTCGAGCATTCCAAGATACAAGCAATCAATTTAATAAATTAGGATGACATTTTTTTTCTTGGAAGTTTAATTGCATTCGACTACAAAGGGCATTTTAGTTATAGTTAGTCGGTTACTATAATTTCTACCTTAGAGTCATGCTCGAATGACTTGAATTAGAGTTTCAGAATAGATATTTCACCCTCCTCTCTGCTATCAGAATATGTTCTTTTAAGGTTTAAATGATACATCAAATATATATTTTGAGAAAAAATTTCACCTCCCCCAACCTTCGTGCAATAGTGCTAGAAAGTTTCTATTTTTTCATATCTCAACCTCTCATATTTTGATCTTTAAACTTGAATTTTGTCTTTATTTTGTTCATCATTTGGACCGTTGATTCCATTTATACTTAAAATTCTGTCTAAGAAAAATTGTCGCGAGTTATATTTTCTATTCACACCCTTTTGTATATTTAAAAAATATATGCATCATTATAACAAAATCTTATCATAAACCATTGTTATAGACAACACTTACCATAATTGAA